GATGAAGTGGATGCCGCTGATGAGGAGTTCTTCCAGGAGCAAGTCGGCTATGATGAGTTTTAGGGTTTCGGTCTAGTTCCCAAGTCGTGCCTGTGATGATTGGTCCAAGTCTTGGCTTCCGTTGTTCCCTTTTGTAATGCAGTTGTGAGCTCGAGATCTGTCCGCAGCTCAACATGACTGTACTCCTACTCTGTAATAAAGAGACCTATGTTGCTGTGATAATCTGTCTTCCTGTGATACCAGCACTGTTTCCTGGGACTGGTATCGGTTAACAGGTTAATTTGGAGCGTCACGGGCTAGTTCTGTTCGGGGCTAGTTCGGGGCGTGACAATTGTTCTTTCAATATTGCTTATTTTTAATTCCGAATTTTTGCTAATTTTAAATTGTATTCTTTCTTGAACTCTTCTTTTATTTTCTTTTGCTAATTTCAGATTTATTTATTTTTATTCCGAATTTTAATTAATCTCGTATTGGGTTCTGATATGGATTATTCTTTTAATATTTCTTATTTTTAATTCCGAATTTCAGATATTTTTAAATTGTATTCCTACTTGGACTCTCATTTCCTTTTCTAATTTTGGATTTTATTTTATTTTTATTTCGATTTTTTATTAATCTCGTATTGGGTTCTTATATTGAAACTTATTTTAATATTCCTTATTTTTAATTCCGAATTTCAGCTATTTTTAAATTGTATTTCTACTTGGACTCTCCTTTCCTTTTCTAATTTTGGATTTTATTTTATTTTTATTTCGAATTTTGATTAATCTCGTATTGGGTTCTTATATGGAAACTTCTTTTAATATTGTTTATTTTTAATTCCGAATTTCAACTATTTTTAAATTGTACTTCTACTTGGACTCTCATTTTTCTTTCCTTTTTCTTTTTCTTTTTCTCCGATTAATGTGGGAATTTCTAGCTCCCACAACGAATGTGGTGCCTCTTTTCAAGGCTGTGTTAATAATATAATAGATGACTTTAGTTCCCCTTAGTAATTAAGCGTACAATACAGTATGGTTTAACCAAATCGCATTACCTTGCCTAAATGCTGACCACACAAATGACATCATACTAGTCATTTACTTCATCCCAGACCTCGAGAATTCACCATCAAGTCACACTGAGGCACTGAATAGAGTGAAGATGAACTGTTAAATTTGTCATTCTCAGTTGTTACTTCAACCCATCTTTTTAGTGCAAAGTCGCTTTTATTTTTTTCCATTCTGACCATGAGAAAGCACCTTTCACTACTTGGACGGTTCCCCAGCACTCCAGTTGAAACAGACATTTTCTTTTTGCAGATTCCATGTACCGATATTCAAGTTTGTTTATCTACATGAACAGTACATTTTATTCGTTGGAGGAGCAAAGGATCAGAATTATTATCAACTGTCAAGGAGAACAGACAAAACTGCAAGTTCAGCCGTCAGACTGGCGACTGCAGCAGAGGATGAGGTGCTTTGTTGGCAAGTGATCGATTTAATCATAGCACAAAGTCCCAATCTGAACATTACCAGTAACGTTTCTTTGACATTAAGCATAAAACGCCCAAATTGCACGATGTTACTTTTATGTGTTCCGATTAGTATCTGTTCACACTGTGTGGGGACTCAGCCATTCCCAAATGTTTTTGTACTCTTAGAAATGCTGCATTATCACTACGAACTAGTGCTGTACCATTTCAGAAACCAGTTTCCTTGCTCAAGTTGGACATTGCAGCATAGCACTGGGAAAATGGGACCTTAAAAGTCGTCTAGTGCTTCGTAAGTGTGATCATCGTGTCCACATATTCCCCACCTGAAAGTGTTTGTTTCCTTACATTCATAGCTTACTAGAATTTTCACACAACCTCCACAAAAACCAGAGGAGTCTCTATGACCTCCCACTCAGGATAGCTTCCTTTCTTGGCAGGATATGACTGAGATATAGTGAAAACTGCAGTCAAATGCCACTTGCAGTGCATGAAAAGCTCTTGATATTTCAGACTTTTCACCGCACAAACTACACTACAGTACGTCCCTGAAGGTCTGAAGAAGATATATATGCACACCAGAACAGTAAGAAAAAGAACCCTGGAATATCCAATGCAATGCAAGCAAGCTAGTTCTTTGGAATAAGGATTGTTCCTCTCAATCAGTGACCTCCAAAAAGCGAAGCTCCTACTTGTGTGCCATAATGCAATTGCAATCTATCCATCCATCCGTCCGTAGCAGAGGACATGGACATTGTCATTCCAGCCATAGTCAAAGGAGGCATCTATCTGGTTTAGTCAGCCACTCGCTCGGGCGCCTCCAAGCTAAAAGGAGAGCGCCTGATGCTTCCCTGTCAAGTTAGCATCCGGCAAATGCGAGATTCCTCTCGAGTTGCATCTCCAGCCGCTTTTGCCCGTGCCTCGCTTTGCAGCTTCATCATGATGCATCTTATACCATTTGGAACGAATTCTGGACGATGCACCGACTTTTCGTTGTCTTCCATCTTTCTAGCGGCACTGTCTCTCTAGCTTACCAACACGTTGTTCTTGGCTATCCAGTATATCTTCCTGTGGTTTTTGACCATGTAAGTCTCATGTGCTCTAGAGTCTAGATCAGTCGTTTTCTTATGAATGATTCCATACTGCTATTGCACGGCGTGCTTGATTGTTTCTACCACTTTTAAGTGTGCATATCTCCATAGATAGATATCCATGATCATTCCTATTACCAGATTCTCACCAGTGTAGCATTGTTATGTTAGTGTTAAGACCATTGTTATGTCAGTGTTAATGCGCTGTTAGCTAAAATTAACAGATAATGACAGCCATATGTTATTTTCTTTATAAGGAAGATGATTACATCCCCGACCTCTACAAGCTTTACGTCCTTGTGTTATATAAATGAGTTACATATGTTTCAATGCTGCTCTTTTCCAAAAAAAAAAATGTTTCAATGCTACACACATTTCACAACTCAGAATCAGCTGCTTATTTGACATCTTCCATGCTCTTGCTCTTTAGCTATTCGGATTCTTCCAGAACAGGCTGCACTGATCGGTGCATGCATCTTCAAACACATGTGCAGTACGAAGTACCAAAGCAAAATCTTTATATTCGTTCAGCGCAACTCATGCATGAATCAGGAGCGCAAAGATCAGATTGGCAATTTATCGAATACCACGGCTGCCTTTTTACAAAAGAAACAACGGATAAATTGCACCGCGGCATCTCAGTTTGACATCGCTTGCAGGTCGGTTTGACATATTGGGGCAAACATCTCCCTCACGCACGCGCGGGCAAGCATGAGGTCAATGCATCATGCAGACTTGCAAGGCCCGTGTGGTTACATCAGCTAAAGATTTTGAGAATATCGTTATTCAGGAATAAAGTTTTAATTTTTTTCGCGGTGGTTTGATCGTGATATCTTGTGAGAGAAACAAGTGGGAGACGAAACGGCCGGCGGTGCTCTGAATGTGCTGAGAAGCTTGGCAAAAGAGAGGATGAAGTCAGGGATTCTCAAGAGATCTACGGGGATAGATTGAGATTCTCGGGTAGGGTACATGTCGATCTCTAATATCCGCCATATCGGATCATGATCACATCGGTGCCATGCTGATTTTGATCTGCCGAAAACCGCAATGCCGCGGCTACTGTTGTAAAGGCGTTCCGCGGCAGATTCTGAAGGAAATGCCGCGAGCTTTTAGTGCCACTTCGGAAGAAAGTTTGATAGAGAGGCGCTCTAAGCTACTTGTCGATTCATTTTTCTTGTCAAACATGAGAAGAAAATTCTGCATTTTGTTGGTTAGAGAACAGTCTACCATGAGCAATGGCATTTGTCGGTTAGAGGACAGTCTCTGAAGTTTCTACCAAATCCACTTTCAGACTAATAGTTGGTTACCCTTCACATCTTACAGTTTCATACTTGCTTTTTGAAACAACTTAGGAGTACGCATTTTCAGGTCCCTAGTTACGTACTAATCCTGAATGCATTTGACGTTTTTCATTCTGACTAAATCAAACAAGAGTCTGATCGAAGTCCTAAAATATAAGAAAAAATAAGATAGTTCTCTTAATAAATCTCGGCTGGCTCTTCACGCCACCCCGGCGAAGGAAAAGAAAAAATAAGATAGTATTACTTCTGCAACCAACCATGGTCTCATTGGTGTGTCAGTAGAAGCAACTAACTAATCCTAGCCATTTACTACTACCGTGGTTATCAGAAACCGGCATGATCACACATGATGTTGGCCTGCTTGCACGCATTCAGCTGCAGCTATGATGGGGTTGGTGAGCTAATGATAAGAATGCGGAATTCTGCGTGCGATCCAATCTTACAAGCCGCAGAGAATGTTGTACTGGAGGTAAAACCTTGAGCACGAGCGCAGCGAGCTGTATATTCGACACAAACTCTAACAGCAGGAACGAGCTGATGATGCATCCAACGATCGAACAGTTTGTCTGATGCACTTGTAGCAGCAGCACTAGAGCTTTTTGCGACTTTGCTGCAGCATTGAGCGAATCATGTGGTGGCTTCAGTGCACAAGGCATCTCTCAATCATGGCCATGGGAGCTAGCAGCAGCATTGCATTGGGAAGAGACCAAAGATTCCATTCTGCCGGTCTGCCCTAATGACCTGACGCTAATCGTAGCCGATGGACGATGATGGCGATGATGATTCGTGCTTGTTAGAGAAGGAATTGCCGGGCCAAATTCGCTGGGCTCCATCTAGCCTGAACCTTCCCAAAGCGGGGAAAAGAGAGGAAAAAATATTATTACCTCCGTTCCAGATTATAGAAATTTAGAATCGGACAAAACGAGATTTATAGTATTAGAATACGTTCCATCTGATTTTAGGTTGCTATATTCTGAGATAGAGGATACTACTACGACTATCAGTTCTTCTATTCACTTGATGATGCCTGATGCAAAGCCCAGAAAGCAGCAGACAATCAGACAATTATTTGCTCTTGGAAACTTTTCCGGTTTCCTTGATGCAACACCATCAGTGTCGTCGAGGACGGCAACCCGATTTGAAAACAGTATCCACAACTTGCTTTTTAAGTATATTGATGAACATGAATGATACACGGAGCAACAACATCGTGGCATAGCGGCAGTGTCGTTTTTATGTGCTACGCTTTTGCTTTCCGACACCGCTACGACGATCCAAGTTGGGTATTGGGATGGACAACGCTTGTCTTGAGTGACACGTACTACAAAAGTAATTAATTTACAGCTTACACGACACCTACTCATCATCTGCTGCAGCAGAAACTGGTTGGATGGTTGGATGGATTAGGATGGATTAATTAGCGTGACACGGCGAGTGTCAGCTAAGCTTAGCCACTGGCTGGGGCTATCTGGCTCTGACGAAAGCCTTGATGTGGGCGAGCATCTCCTGCGTCCGCGGCTGCGAGAGGTGGTAGTTGTTGAGCACCTGGAACGCGTGCCCGACGCCGCCGTACGTGGCCTGCTCCACGCTATGGTCGGCCCTGCGCAGCGCGCTGCAGAGCTCCAGGTTGCGGTCGCGGAGGATGTCCTGCTCGGAGATGCACACGAGGAAGTCCGGGAGCGGCAGGGAGTCGAGCCGCGGCGCGCCACGCCCGGTGACGGGGTTGCACCACGGGTGGTCGCGTGTGGCGCCGGCGGGGAGCGACATGCGCCAGTAGGTGTCCGAGGTCGAGAGCGTCAGCGCCGAGCCTGGTGGCTGGGGCATCGTCTTCTCGGAGGCGGTGCGGGTCTCGCCGCCAAAGAAGGGCTGGATCAGGATGGCGCCCTTGACGTCGAGCGGGGTCAGGGCGCCGAGCTGGCCGTGCCCGAGCCGCGCGGCGACGTGGAAGGCGATGGTGGCGCCCGCGCTGTCCCCCGCGAGGAATACGCGGTCGAAGCGGCAGCGGCCGCGCCACCAGGAGAGCTCGTCGGCCGCGCTGGAGATCGCCGCCTGCTGCCGCAGCCACCGCACCGCCGTGACCCCGTCGTCGAACGCCGCGGGGAGGCGGTTCTCCGGCGCGAGGCGGTAGTCGACCGACATCACGGCGCACCCCGCCCGCGCGGCCAGCTTGGCGAGGAACTCGTGGTAGCAGCTCCACGCCGCGGAGCCGACGCAGAACCCGCCGCCGTGGAAGTACACCACCACGGGCACCCTCCCCGCCGCCGCCGCCGCCGCAGGCGCGTACAGCCGCGCCCACACCCTCGTGGCACGGTCGACCACAGCGTCGCGCGCGATGACGACGCCCGGCACCGACGCCGTCGTGCCCCACGTGCACGGCACGTCGGGGATCGCCGGGATGCGCTCCACGAACCCGTCCCTGTAAACCTTGATGAGCCCGTGTATCTCCTCCACCACGGCGCCATGGCCATGCCCTTGCTGCCCGTTCTTGCCGACCTGCTGCTGCTGCTGCTGCTGGAAGCTGACCCGCGGCTCGCCGACGTGCAGTGCCCCCATCCTCCTCCTCCTCATGCAAAGCCGCACGCAACCCTCTCGAAAGCAAGTAGTAGCGCGCTCTGGGCGTGCGCTGTGTCGTGTCCCGGGAGCCGGAGCCGGACACAATGATGCGGCGTTGTCCGGGGGACGCGGCCGGCGCCGGGGATTTATAGGCGGGGAGGGTGGGACAGGTGTTGCGGTGGCGTTGGGCCGGAGTGGGGGCACGAGTACTGGACTAGCTAGCTAAGCCAAGTGGAGGCGGCTGATTCGCTCGCGCGAGACGCGCACGGCAAGGCGAGCCCGCGAGGGGCGAGGAAGGAAGGACGCGCGCGACCCACATATCCTCCTCCCAAAGTCCACCGTCTCTTGGATTTGGTGGACACATGGAACCATGTGGCCGTCCATAGGGTTTATCCACTCGCCAAATGCCGACTACAGTACGGTGGGCGCGCCCAAGCCAACGTGTAAAATGCCCCCACGTGATAAGTCTGTCAGCGACTCGTATACGTGACTGAGTTGTGGACCTGTGGTCACGTTTTCTTTTTAAGTTTTTTTTTTCATTTTTTCTTTTAAACCGTGTTGTTTCTCTATCGTAATCTTTTAAAAACATGTTGTTTCTCTACCGTAATCTCGTGGAGGGAAAGAGTAAGTGAGAAAAACATGAACATTTTTATACATTCCTTTCTACTACAAGCTGCGTCAAATGGCCTTTACTCTCTCAATTACCGCGAACAAACAGTCGAAGATTAATCCCACATGAGGTCATCAAATATCTCAGGACGTGTAGTTCTAGTTCACATAGCCTTTGACATTGCCGTTTGACCCTGGGGTTGCTGCACATTCTGGTGGTGGTTGTAGAGGATCCAGCACTTGCGAGAAAGAGCAAGGTGGGTGTGTGGGTGCAGCTGTGGTCGCATGTGGCGCCTTTTGGCTGCCAATCGGCTGCCTCCCTTGCAGACCAAGTGGAACACACCCACCTTTTCTTTCCTCGCGCGGTACACGGAGCCGCGCTGTAAAACACCCAGAAAGCAACGCGAAATTTTGCATGCCCACTTGGTCAACAAATGCGAATAGGCCGATAGCTGCAGTACAGGTTGCAACCGACTTATGCTGCTACTTGTGCAACGCATGATGAAATGCCATCAATAATACGGGTGACACGTAAATTCATTTAGGAAACTTGCTAAAGGCCGTGCGTTGCAACATATATTATAAAAGATAACAACAAAAGCAAAAACAATAAGTTTATAGTATAGTTAGTTGATTAGGCATATAATGCCATCTTTTAATGCAGCCGTACTGAAATATGCTGCTAGATCATATGTTTTTATTCTACGGGCCTATTTTCAGAAGGGCTAAATTAAAGCATACGGTTGAATAACAATTACATGGTTATTCACGTGTGGATACCTTATAGCCCCACATATATACCAGTTTATGGTGTTTGAGACAGACTTGGATACCACCATTAGCATTATTTAAAGTAGTACTCTTTTCATCCAAAAGTTTAAGATCTATTTTTTTTTAATTGCCAAGACCAAGAGTAATTAACTTATCTTGACAAAACCAACGAAATATTCATTTTGGATGGAGGGAGTATATATTATGAGTGGGTTCATATGAGAAACATTTCTTTTATTCTTTCTAAAAGATAAGATAGAGTTTGTGTTTAGTATGAATATGCAATCAATTACAAATTAGAACTTGGAATTGTAATAAGGATAGGATAGAAGTTGAGTCGGACCCTGTCATAAGTCTTCTCGCAAATAGAAAAGCATACATGTTATATCCACGTAGTGACAGTAACATAGGTGTGGAAACGACTAGCCGACGACTGAGCCGATCGATGGTTGTGATACCTGGATATATTGTAATATGCTAGTTTGAAAATCATCGTCCATAATTAGTGCTATGAAGATGTAGGTTTCGACTGAACTCGATCTAAATATCGTGCATAGATATCATCATCAAGTTTTGATCTTGTATGATGTTCTTCCGTGTTTAGTTACCGATATCGAATTCAGGGCCGATTTTATAAACAAGAGGGACGGTCGAATGGCATGAACGTAAAGCAAACGTTTTCATATAAGAATCACATGAACAAAAACAATAAAAACGAAAATGAGAGAGAGAGAGAGAGAGAGAGAGAGAGAGAGAGAGAGAGAGTACAGCGTGGGTATTCTAAAAATGATGGAAGGACTCCAAAATGGCTACAACAGGGAGACTTTTACGAGAGAAAAATGAGTGGAAATGAGAGCAATAGACTCAGAACAAAGGGTGGATGTAATATCATCAAAGGACAGGACCACCACCCATCTCACACTAGCTAATTAATGGGCACCTTAAACATATGCAATAGCAAACGAGCCTATGAGACAAGATGTCACAAAGTACCAATTTTGTTGACCTTTGGTCCATTCTCATCATCCACACCACTAAGGCCCCCTTTGATTCAAAGAAAATTGGCCATAGGAATTTATTTAGGGGAAAAACCTTGCGGGTTAGCTCATCTTCCGTTAACACGATGCTACCGCATAGTGCCATGCCTTCGGAAATTGGAATGATCAAAGTTTTCATTTTTTTTCCCCGATTACATTGAAAACGTGCGCGCGCATCACCACACACACCATACTCACACTTATGCGAGTGTGCTCAATAACACACGCTCAAAAACAAAAACAAAAACCAATTACATATTGTTGGCCCCCACTATATCTTTTTTTTTGTTGACCGGAACCCACTATATCTTTTAAAAGCACAATTTTACGTGAACAATATTCGTAGGCGGCATGATTTAAATCTTAGTGGATGGTCATGCATCTACGAGACCACGACCCCACCATCACAACAGTACACGTGCTTTCTCCGAAGTTTTAAAGTTTGCTAGGTGAAATGCCACATTACTGATCTGGATGTTGATATTTGAGTTGAATTTTATGAAATTCTTAACTGAAAAGTGGAAAATTCTTAAGGACCAAGTCAAGTTGGCAACTGAAGTATCAATATTTTCTATATACACTTGTCCTCACAAAAGATTAAAAACTATGCGCACTTCTTTTCTAGAAGGTTCTCCTAGTAGTTCCTAGCTTGGTGTGACGTAATTTCTCCTTCAACCAATCTAACCAATTGAAAGAAAAAACACTTTCTCCAACACCATGTTTTTTCCTCTTTATTTATTTATCACATGCCCAAACAAATCATCATAAGAAACACACTACCTTAATGAGACCCTCCCTAACGACGGTCCTCCCACCCTGTTGATAAACTAAGCTGTACCCATCTCAACCCATGTACTTTTAAATTCTCCTAGGTTAAACTATTCTCAAGGCCTCAAGGGGTGGTAGGAACTAGGAACCGGCCTAACTCTGAGTTGACGCCCCTCCAAAGTCCAATCAAGTTTCCTTGATCTTCGCCGTAGCCCTTTCCATTTACCCTTCCTTCATCCCCAAGCTCATCTCGAAAAGGAACGTACACGACGGCACGGGAACGGATGATCATTTGCCGCCGGCACATCCATCGATCGACGGCGACATACACCGGCCCCGCACACTGCACACACGCGCGGGGGTCACACGCACACCATACACGAGAGCTAATCTTAGCTTAGCTCGCTTTCTTCTCCTGTGTGTGTATCTCGCCGTCCTCGCCTTTAAAAGCTCTTTAGTTCCCCGTCGCGTCAGAAAGGCGAGGAGCTAAGCATAGGTGACACGAAAAGGCTTTTGTGGTTAGATGTGTCATCGGGACGGACGGACGGGCGGGCGGGCGGCTTCTCTTGATCTGATGAGTGATGGGCTGATGGCCTCGTGGTTGGGTTCACCAACCGGGAGCCAAAGCGGCTTGGGGACAGCCGGACAGGCAGCTTTCATCGGACCCCCTTGAGCTACAGCGTACTACAGTGCTAACTGCCTTTTGGCCCAGGCCGTGGTTATCTGCTTTCTGTGGCTGAGTCACAGACACCCAGAATTTGTTGTAGACTTGCAGTTCCAGCCATGAGAAATCTGTCGACCAGAGTAGTATAGTACCTGACTGGCCATCGATGATAGACTCCGAATTTGTCGCAGTTCCATCCCAAAAGGAACTTGTGGGTAGTAGTGTAATAACTGACTGAGTGACTGGTCACAAACTCTCTGAATTTCCTTCATTTCCAGCCAAAAAAACTGTTGAGGGCTACTGGTAACTGTCTGTCTGATTGGTCACGACCACTCCTTTTCTTTTGCAGTTTCCTGGCATAGTGTGCCATGCTAAATCTGTTGGGAGAGTGAAAAGGATTAGGCAACTCTCACTAAGATAAGAGGAGGATGAGGCACAAAAGAAGCAACGACAAAAGAAGCAATTAAAGCCTACGCTATGGTCGACTAGCTTCGTCGCTGGGCGGGCAAAAGAAAAAAATCCTGATTTGAGTGTGTCGACCTCGACCTTCCACTTGCGGCAATTAACAATTTTGGAAAATCATTGGCGCCATTGATGTTGTCCACGGGAGTCACCAACCCTGCCTGCCCGGCTTGTCGCCCGACGACGACGAGAACCATCTCCCTACTCAACTACTCTACCCTATATGCCTCCCACTGCTCGGCACTTCGGCTAGCCCGTATCAAAATCTCCAAAGAACATGGAGCCAAGCGGCATGTTAGGTTGTCTTTGCCGGCTGTGGAGCCGCATTCCCCGGCGAGCGATACGGATTGAGATCCTCTGACGTAACTTCATACTGACTTGGTGACTGATATGTGGGTTCGAGAGTGGTGGGGAACTATATGCCAGTCACGGTGAACAGTAACGTCAGATGATCCTCTTCCATACGGTAGACATGGGCCATCAGTGGCCAGAGTGTAGACTAGAGACTGTGCAGGTCGGTGACCTGAATATAGTTCACTTTAGGTCTCTGTATTTGTCGTGAAGTCTGATTTTTGTCCCTGAACCGCAAAACCAGGTACGACCCATCCCCCAACTTACGAAAACCGGGCAAACGAGTCCCTACGTGGCTAATTTGACTCGGTCTTCATCTGACGTGGTGCTTACGTGGCAATTTGATCAAAGAAAAATAATAAACCCTGTGGGACCCACATGTCAGTTTCACACATAAATTAATAAAGAAAATGGTGGGACCCACGTGGGCCCCACATGTCATCCTCACACCTCCCCTTCTTCCTCCTCTCTCCCCTTTCTTCATCTCTCTCCCCTTTCCTCTCTCAGGCGCGATGGAGAGAGGCGGCACGCGGCGGCGCCGACAGGAGAGGGAGAGGCGCACGCCCTTCGCCGCAACCAGCCTCCACCACCGTCGCCTCCTCACGCTCGTCGACACTGCCGGCAGCAGCGGAGCGGTGCGCGGATCTGGAGAAAGAGGGAGGGGAGAGAGGAGAATATACCTCGCTGTCGCCCCTCTCTTCTCCACTGTCACCAAGCTCGTCAGCGGCCGCCCGCCGGAGCGAGGAGCTTCCCCTTCTTCCACCCGGACGGCACCATCACGCGCCCCTTTGTCCCCGACGCGTCGCCGTGCT